GTTTATCCCTTATAAGGGTGTCAATTATGTTATTTTAAATGGGAATATATATTAAGAATATAATAAAATGTTTGAGTTTTTAATTTAATAGTAAATCGTATTTGGATTTTTAATATAACTTAATTTATTTATTAGATATAAACATTTAAAGGTTCAAATTTTTGAGTTAATATATAAGGGATCACAAATATAGGGAGCTCTAAAAAATGTTTAAATTATTTTTATTCTGTAGATTAATGAGTGGGCTATGATAAAAAAAATCACTCTGTATATATTTATGGTATTTCCGAATTTTAGGTATACTGAAATATTTATTGAACTTATGTATTATTATTGAAAAAAAAATGTGTATTGTGATCTTTTACGCTATTATATTTTATTACTTAGCCTATAGGAATACCTGGCCAGTTCCAATTAGTAGCGAGTATTTTCGTTTATTTTTTTCCAGTATTTATTGAATTTGAGTTATCGAACAGATTTGATTATTTTAGTGTAATTTTTTTTGTCGATTTTTTAATGCATCGCTAACAAAAACGGCGCTCAACGACCAGTAGGGTATCGTATATTATTGTAGTCAAAAATCAGTTTATTACCAAAAAAGTGAGTGTAGCGTAACAAGCTATTATTGAGAGAGTTATTATCATAGTTGGTAATTTATAATGTTTATTTTTTACATTTTTTTTGAGTTTTAGAAACGTTATATTACTTTAAAAAAATAGGTCATATTGTTATATTTTCTGAGCTTTATATTTCTCTCTGTTGAGCCAGAAGGTCTATCTATATTCTTATTTACTGGAAATATTATTTATCAATTATTATTCAAAACTGAGTTTATTCTATTTATTTAGATTTAAAGCATACACTATACATATATACACACTTACACACTTAATCACTACATAGATAACTGGTTTTGCATAGACTAACACTCCCACCTCCACGGATTCTTAAATGATCCACACTACACATCAACAGGTTGGCTGATCTTTGGAGTGATTACCTAGAAATCGGACCATAAGTAAAAAAGCGTGGTGACCGGATGAAATATTTTACTGCTTTATACCCCAGGCCGTGCAGTAATAGTTTGGATTGCAGCGAAACATCTATAATATTCAAAATTATATCAAATTTAAGGTTTTTATTATGTAATACATGATTTAAAAAAATACATTCAGACGACTGGTCTTCTATGAGTAATCGGTCTCTAAAGTCGATGATAATGACGTAATTTTTAGAATGAAATGTAAGTGTATAGTTTGTATACTTTTCAATATATTGTCACAAAATTAAATGATAATAGGAGTATATAATGATAATAAAGAGGTAAATGAGTATAGTTTTGTCATAGAATTCAAAATAATGTGAAGAATGTTAAATTTATAATTTGTCAATAGTTTATCGTGAATAAAAAGGATATATTATGAGAATAAGATAGAATCAATGAGATATTTAAATTTGTTTAGATACAAGGAGAAAAATAAAAATATACGGTCTATGATCATGGATCAATTCTATATAATGAAGTGACTACATATGGTTTGTCATAAAATGTAAAGTGAAGGAAAATTACACACGGACGACACTAACTCGAATAATTTTAAAACTACTATGAAATGTGTTGGGGGAGGATTTTATGACTCTTGATATTTTTTTATCGATTGTAGTGTATTTAGGAAACAATGTGTGTTTACGTAAAATGCAACTGTCCGATTGTTGGACACCAAGTTTTAATTACTGAATTATTTTTTATATGAATGATAAATACAAGTAAAACATTTACGTTACACACCTACAATTGTGATTAGAATGATGATAAAATAGTTCATAATAATTTTTTTTTAATTATCTACGTTTAGAATCAATTCTATTATTCCAACAATAAAAATTATTCATGACTTATTTTAAATCTATCTTTAATTTTTTTATGACATGCTTAAAAATATAATTTCTTACCTTGTGTCCAGCTAGCTTGATAAGTAAAACCCCATTGTAAAATAATATTAACATGAAAAAGAAATTTCTTCTCACGAGAGGAGACTACAGTGATGGGATCCTCAATAATTATTGAAGTTATTGAATCTAAATGAGATAAAAATCAAATGATTTAAACATTTTTTTTCTAACACAAAAAAGTGCAAGATATTATTTGTCACAGGCGGATTCGAACCTCGTACCCTAAGTTTTAAAGACAAAAGTGTTACCGATTCAGCAACTGATCGTCACTTTCGTCGAATGATAAAATTAGCAATTTAAGTAAAGTCAAATATTAAAGTTTCTAAGTCCGAGAAAACACAATTGCGAAACAGTCTGGTGCAGAAACGCTTCATGACCAGATTTTTAGAAAAAATAAGGTGTCGAATGAGCCAAAAATTGCTCTTTTATAGGCCTGTTTTTGCGAGAAAAAATTGGTGCTTTAGATTTTAATTGAAAAATTTAAAGGGACACGTGCGTAACCTATTATTCTACTATTTTGAGTTAATATTATATACGAGTATTGGTGATTTATATCTATTTATTTATATCTATTTATTTATAATCTCTTATAATAATGTAGTTTATTTATTTATTTATAAGATCACAAATCGTAGTTGAATACATTACCCCAAAAATTAAAAAATTTTCCCTAGTTCCCCCAAATAAATGGTGGAAATCCCCCAAGAATTTAAGATTTTTAAAATTGGTAAATTTCGACATTTTTTCACTTATTATTTCTAAAAATTGCTATAACTTATTGAAAAATGCACGATTCAAAATAGTTCTTTTAGCTTCGATGCAAAGCTGAAAAGATAATAATTTTACCATGAAGTGTTTTTTTTTGTTTGTGTCTGTTGCTACTTTTTCTCAGCTCACACTGGACCGCTTTTGATGAAAAATATGTCAGCAAATCACAAATCGTATCTAGTTGAAGGCATTAAACCTTAAAAATTAAAAAAATTTCTTTCGTTTCCCGTAAATGGGGAAAATTTTAAAAAATAGCCGCCTGGAGCAATGAATATTTTGCATTTTTTCTTTAATTCTTTTTGAGGTAGAGTTTCGCTTTTGAATAATCCACCAATTTCTTAAAATTAGACACCATCTACAAATTTGCATCGAAGCGTCTCTTATGATAGTGATTTTAATCACTGTCAGATATCATCTATACTAGTTCCAACTATATCACGCTCACACTTTGCCGCAACCCCACTGTGCTATCGTTTTTTTTACATTGAAACCTTAAGTAATTTCCTAAAATTTGATATAATATTTTTGAAAATCTGACCCTTTACCTGCCTACAAGAGGAAATTCAAAATATCAACCTTTTTACAAAACTTAACTTTTTCAACTTAGCTTTTGAAAATATTCTGTAAATACTGTATCCTTTAAACATATTTCAAATTAAAGCTTATATTACGTACTATAAATTAAAAAAAAAAAATTGTCCCGACGATTTATTTTCTATGTGCAAATTGCTGCCGTAGTTAAAAATATGGTATTTTTGTGTTCAAATTTTCGATTTTATATTTTCAAGTTTAAATTGCTATATCTTTTTGAAATATGTATGTATCAACACGAATTTTCATTCCTAGATAATTCATATATACTTTTTTTATCCGACATACTTACTCTTTAAATTAGGCAATTTCCCCTTGTACAGGGTAAAACTTGAAACATACGTATAAAAAGTTGAACTTTTTCAATTTGGCTTTTGAAAATGTTCCGGGAATACTGCGTCCTTTATCTATATTCTATGTATTTTATGTAAGACTTTTTTGTATATTTATATGGTATACTCTTTATCCTTGTGTGTGGTATTTTGTATTAAAGTATTTATAATTTAGTAATTTGTAAAACCAATAATGAAATCCTAAACAACATTACTGTCCTGTGCAATAAACTATATATAACTACGTCTTTTCAATCATCCACAGAGTGATCAAGGGTATATGCGAGCTCAATTTCGGTTCTTTCCAAAATATATTATACTAGTGTCCTACACTCCGATTGCCCTCACTGTGGCTGAGTTCAAACTGGAATCTAGACTATGATATTATTATGTTAGTACTCTGTCCAGCCAGGTTGTGGCACTTCAATAAGTAATTAAACACAATGCAATCTAGTCATTTGTTTTTTGAAGTGTGTATATATATAAAAAAAATAAAATAAATACCGATAATTTTATGTGCTGGAATATTTATATCATCAAACGTATTTGACCGAAAATAAGAAGTATAATATTTCTTCTAAGTCTCAACGATTAAAAATGCAATGTAAAAAATGATGTAGAATTGATAAAGAATTGTATCCCAGAGCAAAGTATGTACTCACGCAGATTCCATTTGTGAATGTTGATTGAGAAGTCTAGATAGCACGCAGAGGAATGCCCAGAGACTTGAACGTCCAGCGAGAGTTTTTTGGGGGAAAATGGCCTTTTTATTGCCCGCAAAACTGATTTAGCAATCTCTGGTGATAGAATCTTTTACGTGGACGTTTTATGAAATGCGTAAGAGGATGGTTGAATTTGTGTAAGGTTATTATTTTTTTCATTCATTTTATCCACGGGGGAACACTGATTTGGTGATATATTTTATTAAGTATATGTATTATTTATTACATGTATTAAAATGTGATACTGCACTTCCACCTGTTGGTTGTATAGTAGTTAGTGGATAATTATGAATTATAATTGTAAATACATCTAAGTATTTTGTAGTCATATTATTATTTTTTAATTATTATTTAATTTACAAAGGAGACTAAGTTTTTGGTAAACTGCTTTTAGAATTGTACTTTTTTTATATTAAATTTAAATTTAACGTGATTTAAACTAATTAAAACGACAATATATAATAAAAATTATGGACTAAACAGCACTCATAATTATATTTAACAATTTTTTTTAGTATTATTAGTTTTATTATAACTTACTTACTAAAATTTTTAATATTATTATAAATATAATGCTTATGGACATTATTTCATAAATTAATAACTCTTAATTTTGTATTATTTGTGTATGTAGACTTATACCACCAACACATAAAGACTCATCTAACGATCTCGGAATGTATGTTATAATTACGCTATTTAACGAAAGATATTGGCAATCATTAATTCATACAAGAATTCGGGTGAACAATCAAACTAAAGATGTACATGAAATACGGCATGTCGAAGTAAATGAAATCAATTTTTTTAACATAAAACAAGACGTAGCACATATGTTGAAGTGTAGATTTAGTGCATTATTACAAAACGTTTTTGCCTCATTAAGCGCTATGCAACATTTAATTAAGATAGAAAATGCACACAAATCATATAATACTTTAATTGCTTGTGTAAATTCATTTAAAAGTACAATACCATCAGTTATAACTGTGTTAAATTCTTTACTCGCAACACTTGCCTTGTTGAAAAAAGCGACAATTTGGGATTATAAGGGAACATCACCATCATGTTTAAAAAGTGTTTCAAAAATTGCATATGCATATTATAATGCTTTGAAAACTCAAAATATTTCTCCGGTTGCTGAGACTAATGAATTTGAAGCAATACAATATTTTATAAGCATTCAAAATACTCGATATAGTTTAGTTCGTTTATTTTCAGATACAAAAATGAATCAGTTTCTCGAGAATTATTGCGATTATGACAGACCAATTTTAACTAATTTCGAATTAATAAAATCACTTCGAAATAATCAAAATAATGATACTGATCAAAATTATTCTGGTTTTATATGTCTTAAAATAAGTTCACATTTAAAACAAATTTGTAAAGAATTTATTACAACTGATTACGATTTAGGTTTTAGAAAATTAGTAAACCAATATATTATCTAACAAAATTTAAAAATGTATCATTTTATAGATAAAAAATTCCAGAAAAAATATGATCCTATTGAACCTTATGTATGTTTTTAATTATTTAAAAACCGTGTAAATTGTTAAATATACTTAACAATTATAAAAAATTATACGAGACTCATTTTAATTTCACTCTACAATTAAATGGACAATTTTTAAATTAAGTTTTACATATTTTTAAAAATTGATTATGTCGGTTTTTTAAATTTCATATTAAACTGACTAATTGTAATATAACTAGTATCTATATTCACAAGAATCAAACGTCAGATACTAAGTCGTTAAAAATTGTTTTTAACTCAAACATATTAACTATAAGTTGAATGTTTGTTACAGCTTGTTAAAATAAAATGATTTTGGACTAAATTTCTATTATTATTTTACTGTTTTGAATACAGATCGATTATTTTATGTGGAAGAGAGAGAGCGTAAAGCGAGTAAAAGATTGTGAAGTTATACCAGGCTAGAGTGTAACTACACAACATAGACTGATGGTAATGGAGTTGTGGTGTACCAGAAAGAGAATAAATAAAAATAGAAGAAACACAGGGGAAAAATCGAAGATCCGGTGGTGGAAAATGAAAAAGAGTTTGTAAGGACGGTAAAAGAGAAGACGGTGTGACATAAATGATGCGTGGAATAGATTTGCTAGTTGTGTAAAGAATACTGCAAAGGAGATTGTTAATAAATGTAGGAGTAGAATGCCAGGAAACAAGGAAACCTGGTAGTGGGATGAGGACGTTCAAAAAATCATATAAAATAAGAAAAGCAATTCAAAGTATGGCAGAAGAGCAAAAGGAGAGAAGACTGGATGGAGTATAAACGCTTGTGCAAAGAAGCCAAGTTTGTATGATAAGCCGGGAACAAAGGAAGAGGAATAAGAAATATATACACTTGAAAAGATAAGAGAGCAAAGGTCTAAAGATTATCATCATATAAGGTGTATAAAAGGTGTTGATAATAAGGTACTCTCAAGTGATGATGATGTGAACAAAAGGTGGAAAGAGTATTTTGAAAAATTATTTAATGAGGAGAATCCAACAGACATTAGAGGATATCTCGTGGAACGAGGGTCTGGTAGATTTAATTAGTGAGAAAGAGGTATAGAATAAAGCAGTAGGACCACATGAAGTGCCAGTAGAAGTATGGAAAATATCAGGCGGTGTTAGCATAAGGTTGTTGAAGGACCTTATAAATAAAATCTTATTAAAAAGGAAAAATCCCAAATTATTAGAGGAATAGTATTGTGTTGCTGATATTTATAGGCAAAGGAGGCATAGAGGAGTGTGAAAATTATAGAAGCATAAAGCTTGTAGTATGAAAATTTGGAAAAAGGTAATAGATAAGAGAATAAGGAATGAGACATCGGTATCTAAAAGCCTGTTTGAATATGTATGATGGCTCTTGTACCAGGGTAAAAAGCATAGGAGGAGTAACAGAAGGTTTACGGGTAAGAGTAGGAGTGCACCAAGGTTCTGCTTTAAGCCGTTACTTATTCTCTATAGTGATGGATGAAATTACTAGAAAAATACAAGGAGAGGTACCGTAGTTCATGTTGTTTTGCTGACGATATAGAGTTAATAGGAGAAAATAGGGAGGAAATTAATCAAAGGCTAGAGGTGTGCAGATCAGCTCTTATATATAGTAAATAGAGTACGAGTTTGATAAAGGAGAACACGAGTTAGGTGAAATAAGGAGATCAGTGGCAATAGGCGAGGACGTGATTGGAGAGGTGGAAAGTTTTAAGTATTTAGGATCAGTTGTGGAAAAAAGCGGTGGTATTGACGAGGTTGTAAGACACAGGATTAAGTGCGGGTGGTTGAAGTGGAGCAGTGGCGGCTCGCCGGATGAGGCAAGTGAGGCACAATCTCACCTGCAATTTACCTTATAATAATTTATTTATTTCGTGCCTCCATCAATATCAAATATCTTTCAAAATATTATAATTTATTTTTATAATTAACACAATTTGTAATCTTGAACCATAAAAGATAATAGGACGAAAATAGATAACATAATGTTGCGCCTGACTGGCGCTGCACAAACACACCGAGATATAACACGGTAGTTAGTGCCGAAACCAAAGGTCTAAAATGACAACACGTTACACGACTGATTACGAAGCAAACCGATGAAGGCCGAGAGGCAAACTTTTTTTTGATTCAGTTGCTATACTGGATTATTAAGATTGATTGGTGGGGAGAGTCGTGAATACTTGGTAAAATGAGGATGATGTAAATTTTCCTCAGCGGTGAACAGCATCTTGTGCCAGGTGATTTCAAATGCGAAACGACATTTTACATATTAATTAAATGGAATCGACAATATGTCGTTATTGTGTTCTAATCTATGCTTACCCCACAAAAACAACAAACGGATTACGTTTATCATATCAGTTATCAGTCAATGTATAAAAGTATTACACGATTATAATTTTTCATCTTATAATTTATAAAAATTTTAAAGAATTAACATGTTACCAATTAATACAGCTATAATCTACGTGTACCTATAATCTTAAAAATAGGTATATTCTTTATTCAAATTTACTAAATTAAAAGTTTGCCTCACCACTTCCGAGACCTACGAGCCGCTACTGAAGTGGAGAGAAGCGTTTGGTGTCTTATGTGATAATAGAATTCCAATGAGGCTGAAAGGTAAATTCTACAAGATTGTAGAATTACAACAAGATATGATGTATGGTTCAGAGTGTTGGGTAGTTGATAAGAAAGTAAAGCGGGGAATTAGTGTAGAAGAGATGAGAATGCTTAGATGGATGAGTAGAGTGACTAGAGAAAATAAGATAAGAAATGAGCATATTAGAGGGAGTATAGGTGTAGCATCAATCATGGATAAGATGAGAGAAAATAGAATTAGATGGTTTGGTCATGTTATGAGAAGAGAAGAATCGGAAGTCGTAAGAACAGTTGTAGGAATGAATGTTGAAGGTAGAAGAGTTGAAAGAAGACCAAAAAAGAGATGGAGAAATTTTATTCAATGCGATATGACGACATCTGATGTGAGCGCAGAGGATGTGGGAGATCGTGTCAAGTAGAAGTTTAGGATAAGGGTGGCCGACCCCAAGTAGTTGGAATTAAGGCCGGAAAAAAGAAAAAGACTGTTTTGAATACAGACGTCATTATTTTTATTACAAACTAATTTTTATTGACCAAGATATGACATGTAAGATAGCAATAATAATTTACGACACACTAATTGAGAGATAATAGTAATAGATTCAAATCGGGCATTAACCATAATATTAATAGTACAGTCTATTGGTTTGTAATGCAAACTGTAATACTGAAGAATTAATTTCTTTGAAAAACCCAACTTTACGCGTAGTAATCTTTAAATAATCAAATATTTCGGTAATGTTATCGTAAACATTGCTTACACAAAGTAATCTTTATTTTTGTTGACGGATATGTATTAATAGTTGTAGCATAACCTCATAAACTTAATTAAATTAAATTAAATTAAATTAGTTTATGTTATACCATAGAAAATGAGTGACTCCTGTATTCAAAACAGTAAAATAATAATAGAAATTTAGTCCAAAATCATTTAACTTTAACAAGCATAACCTTTACACTACCTTCATTTTAATTATCTGGTTAGTCTACTTTAAATTAATTGTTCTTTTTAACTTTATATTAATTATACACCAATGAATTAATTATGTTCTCCAATAAAATTTAGATTTATTTAATAAATTAACTATTTTAATTTTAATATAAGTATGCATTAAATAATAATAAAACTTTTGTAAACATAATAAAAATAATTTGTCGCACTACAATTTGGATACATTAATTTTTTATTAAATTTTTGAAACTACGATAGAATTCGAGGAAAAAAATATTTGGGATTAAACACTCAATACCGTGGGATATAATAATAATAAAAAATATCTGTCTTCGTCACTGATTTACTCATCTATAAAAAATTACTCTATATTTTTCTCGTGTTTAGAATTTGAACACACCATTATAATAGTACCACAAAAAGAAAGTTGATTGAAATGTTAATATTTTTGAAAAGTATTTTTGTAGCTTAAATTTGTTTAAAATTTAAGTAATTTACAACTTTTCAAAATTTTTCTTTTAACTATGCAAAAAATTTCTCAACTGCACAAACAATATTATATAAACATATTATATTTACACAAACTATATTATAAAATTAAATTTATTTGTCTCAGCAAATTATCTTCTATGTGCAGATCGCTGCCGTAGTTAAAAACAAGCTATTTTGTGTTAAAATTATTGATTTTCGATGTTATATTTTCAAGTTTAAATTGCTGTAACTTTTTGGAAAATGTACTTTTTTTAACGATACGTCAAATTATTACAATCCGTATTAAGTTGAAGTTATTACCTTTAAAATACTCCCTTAATCAAATAAAATAGGCTGCGACTACCCTCCTGCCCATTTTTTCCGCCACTTCGCTCGCGGAGACTTGCCGGTCCGGTACTGCGGACGCCGACCATTAAGCGGGCATTAATCCCGTCTGGAATGCATCAACGTCCGTAGCCGGGCCGATTCTCCAGCCCACTCACCCGCCGCGGAACGGCGCGCGAGTCACATTTCGCGGAAAACGACTTCCGTGGCTGCAATCGTACTCAATGTACAAGTGGTCATTGAGGTTTACCCTGTGCGGGAGAATCGACCAACCAGGCATATGCGGGTGCAACGACGGGAACACCAGCATGACGTCCACCTCCGAGCTTATGGAGTGACACTCAAATGTCGGAGTGGAGCCCGAGGGCCGACATCAGGTCCAACAGGTCCTCACCACGCTGGTTCGTGTCCGCTGATCCCCCATCGGGTAGTGAGCGTTGAAATCCTCTATCTCCGAGGCTCGAATGTTGGGAACTACCCCCGTGAGAGCGGTTGAAGTAGAGAACACCCAAGGCCCTTGCGGTTTCGATAATGGCCATGGCCATCTTCATCACTTGCCTGTGCGAGGAATATACCTTCAGCACATCGGAGAGCTGCCATGCCTGCTCCCTGTCGAGGTCTAGCCCAGTCGGCAGCATCTCGTCGGTCC